GTCAGTACTGAGGGAGCGCCGCACTGTCGGAGGGTCAGTACTGAGGGTGTGTAACAGGTTTGGAAGGTCAGTACTCAGGGAGTGCTGCACTGTTGGATGGGTCTCTGGATATAATAGTCTAGCAATAATACACTGGGCCATTGCCTGTCCTCCTGTCAGAGGGTCCGTACTGAGTCAGAGGGCTGTGACGTGGAAAAGTTGGTCAGTGTACCCATGAAGCTGCTGAATTGATCCATTATTGCCTTTAAAGAAGGAAATGTGCAATCTTCATCCACTTGAGCACAGACGTGACCCTAGTCCCAGACCAAGGTGCTGCACTCTGTAATGACCATAGGGTTGCACAAGCCAGTGCATCACAGTCATGTCCTCCTGAGGAGAGCTCGACAGCGGGTGAGAAAGCCCAGGCAGGTGTGAAAGACCCCCGTTGCTTAAACTAATTGTTCAAATGTTCAGACAGACAAGTTTCATATCCTAAATGTCCAGCAGACACTCCAGCTTCTGAGAGAACAGAGACTGGGTTAAATTTTCATCCTGAGGCCTCTCTGTTTGAGCCGTGGTTATTTTGCCTCCTTTATCTCTGGGTACTGTACCTGCTCCACCTGCACACTGTCCTGCTGCTCCCCCTTGTGTCGGTTTATTATCAGACTTTGTAAAGTTTCTAGCAGTGGCTCAGTATGACTGTGTCACCAGTGTGTGTCCTGTGGGTTAACCTGGGAAGAGTGGTGGCTTCATTGAGCTTTTGGAAGGTTTCCGGTGTTGATGGGAGCAGTAATTGACAAGAGTAGTCCTCCGAGAGTGCTGACAGTGCCTGGCTATGGGCCTCCGCTTGGCACCTGTGCCCACTCTGATTTGACCAATAGATGAAGACGAGGTATAACACTTCAGCTGCAGAGCCAGCTTTCAGGGGCACAGATCCTCAACACAGCAATACACCAACTCACTCATCAAACATGGCCCAAAGTGTGTCACCCTGAAGGGATTTTTTCCTGAAGTAGCACAGCACAGAGAGAGCTTTACTCTGTACCTAACCCCGTGCTGTCCCTGTCCTGGGATACTTTGGTGGGGACAGTGTAGAGGGAGCCTTAACCTGTATCTAACCCCGTGCTGTCCCTGTCCTGGGACAGTTTATTGGGGACAGTGTAGAGGAAGCTTTACTCTGTATCTAACCTCATGCTGTGCCTGTCCTGGGACAGTTTGATGGGAACAGTGTAGAGGTTGCTTTACTCTCTATCTAGCTCCATGCTGTCCCTGTCCTGGGAGTGTTTGATGGGAATAGTGTTTGGGAGATTTACTTTCTATATAAACAGAATAGACAGGGTTTTACTTTGTATCCAAACCCATGCTGCCCCTGTCCTGGAAGTGTTTGATGGGGACAGTGTAGAGGGACAAAACCAGAAATTGCTGGAAAATCTCAACAGGTTTGGCAGCATCTGTGGAGAGAAAGACCCTGAGCTTCCAGTTACTTGCCACATCAACACAACTGTTCCCTGGCCACCATCTCTGTCTCAGGCTCGCTGCGGGGTTCCAGCAAAGCTCAGCTCAGGTGTGTGAACTGGGAGAAAACACAGGGAAAGGTGCTTTAAGCCCTAAAATTGAGTCAACATTGAGTCCAGAAGGCTGCAGGGTCCCCAAGTGGAAAATGAGGTGCTGTTCTTCCAGCTTCAAAATCTCCCCACCCCCGACCTCATCCCAAGACCAGCCCATCTCGACCCCGCCTCCTTGACCTGTCCATCTTTTCTCCCACCTATCTGCTCCTCCCACCTCACTGACCAACCCTCATCCCAACTCCCTACCTACATTCACCTTTACTGGCTCCATCCCCACCTCCTTGACCTGTCCATCTTCTCTCCACCTATCTACTCCTTTATTCACCTTCTATCATCGCCTCCCTCTCTCTCTATTTATTTCAGAGCCCCTTTCCCCTCCCCCATTTCTAAAGAAGTGTCTAGACCCGAAATGTCAGCTTTCCTGCTTCTCTGATGCTGCCTTGGTCTGCTGTGTTCATCCAGCTCTACACTGTGTTATCTCAGACTCCAGCATTGGCAGTTCCTACTATCTCTGAGTGGGTGTGAGTGTTTGTTTCAGTGTCTCCTGACGTCCCGTGAGAGTCTTTACTGTCTGTTTGTTTGTCACTGACCAGCCTCTTGTCTCTCTGTCCAGTCTGTCTCGTGAGTATCTGCTCACATAACCTGAGGGAACAACCATGGAGAATGTAGCAAAAGATGATTACAAGATCCAGTCATTTGACGCGGATACACAACAGCTGCTGAAAACTGCGCTGAAGGGTACGTGTGTGAGATGAGAGGGATGTTTGTAAATCCTGTAGTTACTGTCCTGATCCTCCCAGAGGCTGGTGAGGGCACATTCCCAGGATGTTTGCTGTCTTCCAATAACCTCAGACACATGGCCCCAGTCAGTGAGCAGGAGCCGGGATTGTTGAAGGGTTGATGGCCAAGGGAGAAGGCACTGGTATTGCCCCACTCCTCACTGTGAGGGCATTTTGTTTCCATTGCCAACTCATCAAACCTCCTTGCCGCCAGACACTTAAATGGGTCGGAGTGCTGCCGGCGGGAGAACAAGGCGAGAGATGGCACAGCGGCTTGGTTCTGTCCTGGATTACACTGAGACTGAAGTAAATAAGAATTAGCTGAGCTGCAGCAGGAGTTTATCCCTGTGATGAGCCCAGTTCAGGGTGAACAGACTGTGCCGCCCTGGTGTGTCTCCCAGTGTGTGAATGAAGTGTGTTTCTGTGGGAGGAGGTGGGGTGGGGGAGATGCAGGAAAGGGGGCTAAAAGTTTCTGCCATTGTTGTTTCACAGAACCTGGCTCAGTCGACCTGGAGAAAGTGGCCTCAGTGATAGTCGAACAGTCTATGAAGGACCTGGTGTTCAGTAAAGAGGCTGGCAGGATCTGCTACACCATAGTGCAGGTACGCTGGAGAGCTGTGTGGAGAGAATTTCCTACCCCTACACCTACTGCATGGGGGCTTCAAAAACCCCAAATATGCATTGACTCCGGAGGCACTGGAAGAAATGTCCCAAAATGGACCATTCAGCCCATTTATCCCAGGTTGACTTTTAACCAGCACACCATTAGCTCTAATCATCTCTACCTAGCCCATTCCCATATCCATTCATCATCTTATGACTCACAGATGGATTCAAAAGTCTCACAGCCTCTTTTTTTCTTGGAGAGAGATCCTACCAATATTTTATCCCTCGGTTACCATCACTGAAATAGGTTTCCTGCTCAAGCTGTTACATAGAGGCATACAGCTTGGAAACAGACCCTCGGCCCAACTTGTTGGTGCTGTACAGATATCCTAAACTGATCTGGCCCCATTTGCCAGCATTTGCCCCATATCCCTCTAAACCTGTTCTATTCATGTACCCATCCAGGTGCCTTTTAAATATTGTAATTGTAATTATTGTAAATATCGTAACTCTTAAATTGTGCTCCCACGACCACCACCTGCAAGTTCCACTCCGAGCCACTCCGAAATATATCACAGTCCCTTCACTGTTTCTGGGTCAAAGTCCTGGAATTCCCTCCTTAACATGATTGTGGGTCTACCTATCGCACATGGACTGCAGCGGTTTAAGAAGGCAGCTCATCACCACCTTCTCCAGGGCAACTGGAGATGGGTAATAAATACTGGCTCAGCCAGCGACACCCACATCCCACAAGTGAATACAAAAAAATCTGTCACACTCTTTCTGCCTCGCTCTGGAACTATGAAGGCATTGCTGGTGTCCTGTGGTTTCTTGTTCCAAACCCCTCATTTCTTCTATCTATTGTCCTGTCCTTTCAGAATATGAAACCTTTCCATCATATTGTCTTATAGTTTGCATTGCTCTAATTTAGTGTCAGTTCTTACTCAGTGACACTGTGAGCAATTGTGACTTAATTCAAGGTTTCCTTCCACATCCTTCCTGGGCCTTTTTCAAGTCATACTGCAGTTTGGTCAACTCTTTAGGCTGTCCACATTACCTAAAAACCAGCAGGAAGAGGGGATCAGGGAGTCGAATCTGGCTCAGGACATATCTGTAATGCCCCTCAGCTTTCCTCCTGATGTATCTGGTATCGGTCAGAGATGAAGAGCTGGCCACTTGGTCTCATCAACCCTCAGCTGGGCTGCCCCCAGAGTTTTGAACCTTAATTTTGTCCAGTGCCTGGTTCCCATGACCCCTTGCTGGAACTTGATGTGATGCCACCTGAAGCTGAATAGAAGTGAAATGTGCAGTATGTTGGCAACATGCAGCCAGCTTCCTGTGATATCATGTCTCCACCCCACTTCCCCATTTACACCCATTCTTACTCACACCAACACGTACACACACACTCACATGGAACAGACACAGACACACGCTCAGCGAGACAGACACCCGCACACACACACCTGCACATACAGACACACCCTATGGGAGATAGACAGACATTCACAGACATGTGCATGCACATACACATGCACGTGCATGTGCAGAAAGACGTGCGCACATGTACACGCACAAAAACACGCACTCACATCAACACGCACACACACAGACACACACACACACAGAGACACAGAGACTGACAGACACATACACAGAGATGCACGCGCACAGACACACACACACAGGCATGCACACACACAGACATGCACACACACAGACACATGACACACACAGACGCAGACGCACAGGCGTACCTGTGCACAGGCACGTGCACACAGGCGCACGCGCACACAGACACACGCGCACACATAGACACACACTCAGCCTCTAGGAGATGCCAGGCCCCACAGTTAAGCTCCCTGCTCCAGCCTGGAGTCCAGGGTTGGGCCTTTGTTCTTATTGGTTTTCCTTGTTTCTAGGCTGAGAACAAGCAGAGTGGGAACAGCAACTTCCGACGTAATATTCTGATCCGACTGCAGCAGGAATTCCTGGTGAAGGAGCAACTCCGAGAGCATTCCGTGAATGAATGGGTCTGTCTGGTTACTTTCATCTGCAACATTTTCGACTACCTGAAGGTGAGTGTCCCACCTGGGCAGTTGGGCCAAGGCTTGGTCCTGGTGCTCTCTGGTCTATTCATTTTGAGTGTTGCTCTCCTGTAAAGCACTATGACTAGCGGTGCTGTATAAATGCAGGCTTTATCTGAATGTCACTGCGGTAGAGGGTGGATCTCTGTGCACCTGGATTCTCACTCGTGTTTTATGTTTCAGGTGAATAACATGCCCATGATGGCCCTGGTTAACCCTGTGTATGACTGTCTGATGCGTCTCGCTCAGTCTGACTCACTGCAGAATGAAGACGAGGTGAGGTGGGGAGCAGGTCTAAGGTCAAACTACATGTGAACCACACCACCCTTCTGAATCCTTGTCTCTGTCTCTACACAGTCTGATGATCAGAATTCATTTCCCTGACTATTTCCACATTTTGTCCTTCTGTTAAGTCTGTTCTCTCTCTCTCTCTCTCTCTCCATCCCCCCCAGATCCATCTCTCCTTTCGTCATGCATTGCATCATTTTTCACCTCTTCAAGTCTCTGCCATTTCAGACCCATGCATTGCTGGACCTTCCTGCTGTCTTGGTACCATCCCAGATCTTGACTCCATTGTTGGATAAGGCTACAGTTCCTCCCTGCTATTCTTGTGTTATTCTTCAGGGGACTCCTTAGACACTCTATGCTGCCTCCCCTTGGGCAGTTCTCTCAGTTTCTGACCCCACTCTGGTGCCTAGTTCCTGTTGTACCAGTTCTGAGCTGAACCTGTCCTCCTGTCAAACTGACCCCTCCATTCCCAGTGCTGACTGTTTGCACTAACCCTCTGGGTTAGCTCTACTAACTGCCTGGAGGGTCTGTTTGTTTGTGAACAAGGCTCTCACCATTTGTTGAACTATTGTGGATGATTACTTCGATGTCCTGGCTTTAACATTTTCCAGGCCGAAAGGTGATGTCAACTGCCCTTAAATGAAACTTTCCTGTGACTGTACTTCCAGCGTCTGCCCCATTAAGACTTCTGCAATTGACCATGTGGCCCACAACATGCCCCTTCATCCTTCAGCCCATTTCTCAAGAAGGGTCCCGACCCGAAACGTCAGCTTTTCTGCTCCTCTGGCTGGCCTGCTGTGTTCCTCCAGCTTCACCCTGTGTTATTCCCCATCATCCTGTTGCTTGCTTTTCTGCTTTGAACATCTCAGTTCTACCCATATGATTTCAAATCCTCAGTTGTTGCCTGTGGATCTAAGTCTGTTTCCTCAGTGAAGTATATTCACCTCTCCATCCAGTTTTTTTGATTGCTGGTGTTTAGGGTCTCTCCACAGCAGTTAGGAATGTGCATATCCCATGACTGAATGAAACCTAATCCCTAATTTTCTTGGAGAGGGTGGCAGAGGGCTGCTGGTTCTATCTGGTGTTGGTGCACCCAGTGTGGCATGTTTTCGCAACAAAGGACATGTTGCTTGACACTTCTCATCAAGACACATGCAAGAATGGCAAATTTCACAACAACACAACAATTTTTACTTCAGGAGAAAAGGGTGCTGTTTAGGTAGTAATTATTTCTCATTGGCCTGGTTGTTGCCATGAGGAAGGCCCCATAGTCTGTCTGAAATTGCCGAAGAGTGTGAGGCTCAAAGACTATGCAGACTCTCCCTCCAGGCGAATGTTTGTCATCTCAGTGAGTGTAAAGGAGCCATGTTACAAGCTCACCTGATTGTTACTGAAAAGAGTTGCACTTTTCACACCTTTGCTTAGCAATAACATCTACCAGTCTTATATTTAAAGTTACACATGGATCTGGCACCAATAGCCATTTATGGAGGATTTTCCCGATCTTAACCTTTGTGGAAGAGTTTCCAAATTTCACTTCTGAAAGTACTACGGCTAATTTTTAGACTTGTTCCCTACTCCTAGACCTCCCCCGACCAGCGAAAATAATTTCTTTCTATTCCCCTTTAATTGTTCTAATTAATACTTTGAAAACTTGGGTCAAATTGTCCATTAACTTTCAGTTACTCTCTCATTAATTACGGTCTCTAGTAATTTCCTGACAGTAGATATTAGGTGAACTATTCATAATTCTCTGTTTCCTCTCTCTCCTTTCTTAAACCATGGGTGGATGATGTGCACAATTTTCCAATCGAAAGGAGTTGTCCTGACTTGGGAGAATTTGGGAATATTGCTGTTAGGATATCTGGAATGTTCTAACTGACTTCCTTTTTAACCCTGGATGGAAACCCTGCCTCCAAGCATTTGTCACTCTTTTACTTAATTTTTGTCTCTTCATTACTATTGCTGTAATGATGTTAATTTTGGTGAGCCCCTTGACTGGATTCAGCATTAGATTCGTTGGGATTTTTGACACTTCCTGTCTTCCTTTACTGTAAACATTGATGCAAAGTAATCACTTGGCATCTCCACAGTTTCCTTGTTTTCCGTATGGGACACATTGATCCAGATCAGGCTCACTCTTATTCCAAATATAAAATAAATAAGTGTTTTTGTTGATGTCCCTTTAAGTTTTTTTGAAGCTGTGAATCTCTCCTTTGTCACACTTTGCTGCTCGTTGCTTCTTTCCCATGCACCAGGATTTGTTATGGTTTGAATTTTTGTTTGCTTGTTATTTTAGGTTTATATTGTCACTTACCTTTAATAATCCTTGGCTGATTTTCTTTTGGTTTTGGCATAAATTGCTATGTGTTTCACATTTGATTCTTCCCCCCCGCCCCACCCCAGTGCCAGCAATCATCTGTCTCATCTCATCCCAGCCTTACTGGGAATCCTAGTGACTGTTTGCATTTCTTGCTTTCAGATGCTATATTGAGCTCAATTATGGTATGATCACTATTAGATAAATATTCCTGCACCACTGGGCTAATGTAGCAATGTCGCTTCCTTGATCCTAGGACATATTACTGTTCGTTATCTTTCCAAAATGTACTAATCTCTTTGTCCCAGTCCAGATTAAAGCTAAAAACCATCCACTAAAGACTATCTGCCTCTTATAGGTACTTCTGTAATCTAACACTTCACAGCTGATACACAAGGTGTCCAAACAGAGTTCCCACCACAATTTTAAATCCTTTTCTGTTTCCTAGTTCTACCAAAAACGGCTTACTGCCTGCTACTCTCTTGTTCCATGCACTTTTTAAAATCGTGGAAATGATTTCATCTGAACTCCATCCTCTATCGTATTCTGTAACTTTCCCATGAATCTTTTAACCATTTAGTTCCCAGTCCTGATTGTCTGAGTAATGGCTATCTCATAGCATTTTAGTCGAATTTATAACCACAATTCATTCAATTTGTTTCTTAAACGTGGAAACATAGAAAATAGGATTGGGAAGAGGCCATTCAGCCTTTCAGCCTGCTCCACCATTCAACATGATTGTGGCTGATCATCCAACTCAGTGCCCTGTTCCCACTTTCTCCCCATTCTCTCTGATCCCTTTAGCCCTAAGAACCTATATTTAACTCCTGCAAACATTCAATGTTATGGCTTTAAATTCAATGTTATGGCCTCATAAAGTTGGTGCTTTTGTATAAGGAACGTTTAATCAGGCCACAACATTTAACCTGTCCTGCTGTAATTTTTTTAATAAAGACGTTTATTTCCAATTCCTGTTTTCCAATTTACAACTTTTAGATTTTATTTGCCTGTCAAACCTAAAGTACACTGCCCTCTGTTTTAGAAGTATTAGCTGTAATGAAGCTATAATTGTGGTCCCTGGCTCTCCTTCTCTCTAGGTGGACTGCCTTGTGCTGCAGCTACATCGTATTGGGGAACAGCTCCAGCGGATGAATACCCAGCGGATGGACGATCTCTTCTGCCAGCTTCGAGATGGTTTCCTGCTGCAGCGTCAGCCTTCCTCACTGTCCCGCCTGCTGCTGCTGGAGATTATCGAGTTCCGTGCTGGTGGCTGGAAGATGTCGGAGAATGCTCAGAGATATTACTACAGCGAGGTGGCAGACTGAGAGAGCAAGAGAGAGAGGCTGTAGATAGGGGAGGACCGGGAGTAAGATGGAGCCAAGCTTTTTGTGCTAATTGAAATCTAGCGATGATTTTTAAAGGTGATTGATGTGTGTGAGATTGACCAGCTGAGGGCACAGATGATTCACATTCCCAATTGCTCAGCCAGGAACACTTTTTGATAGGACTGACTTCTGAGAATGTGGGAGCTGGTCATTGGGCAGGACGTGGAGTAGGTGGTTTGATGCCAGTCCGCCCCATCTATGCTGATGCCCAAAGATAAATTTTTATAAATTTTAATACAGCTGTCTCTTGAGACTCATGGTCTCCCTCCTTTGGCAGTGACTGTGGGCACAAGGGTTCTGCGGTGATGTAGTGCCAACATCAGCAGTGCCTGCTGCAGTACTTCACTTACACCATGAGGTATAGTTGCTGGGGAACCTGTGAAATCCCAGCAGTAAATGAGAGATCCCAGTTCCTGAGAGGATTGGTTGTTGAGGGGGGGCAAGTGGGTGCAGTCACATTGTTCATATTTGTAATAATGAGATATTGGAGCAACACAATGAAAGTTCTTCATTCTTGTCCTTCCACTGACTTTGTAAATCTTTCTCCAGCTCACCCCCACCTCCCCGCCCTCACCATTGTGCCCTCAATCCTTGGTCTGAATGCGAGAAGCTAACTGTAGCTTTCTGCCCAGGAATGGTATCTGAGTGGCATGTGAATGTTGCAGTGTAGACGAAGGGTGTGATTGGTTGCGTACTACCTAGAATGACTTGCCAACTTGGCTGCTGATACTGAAGTTGCTTCATTTGTCACAATTGATTGGTTTTGAGGAGTTTAGTCACAATAAAGGGGCCTGTTTGATTTTGACACCTTGCTAATTCTTCATTAAATTATCAGGAGATTAAAGCCCAATCTGAGGGAAAGGAGACTATGCTGCCTTTCAAGCATGCCAGCCCATTCCAGTTGATTCTGGCGGATTTACATCTTGAGGTCATACTTTGGTTCCTTAACCCAAATGCTAGAAAAATCTGTCAGTTGCTGATTTGAAGTGTTTCTGTTGGCAGCTCTTTTGGAAGTTCCAGATCAGAGATGCTTCTTGACATCAGCCCTGAGGAGCCTGACTCCAGTTGGAGGAATTATGCCCCCTGTTCTGGACCTGCCCTCCCCACCCAAGGGAACGGTGCCTCTCTCTCTCCTAACCCCATTGAATCTTCATAAATATCTCGATTCGGTCAGTTCTGAGCCTTGCTGTGTTCACACAGCTGCTGACCAGAGGAGGCGCCAGTTCTCCACATTCACAATGTGTTTCCTCAACACTGTTGTGAGCCCGGGTGGTGAGTGGTTGATAGCGTGGGATGTTCTGCCTGTCCTTCTCATTTCTTCTGCGATTCAACTCAATCACCCAGCACCCTACGTGCGCACTTTCTCTCTCTCTCTCTGAGAGCCTGTCTCTCTTCACCCCATCTCTCTCTGTCCACCCCATCCATTTCTCTCGTCTCTCTCTCCACCCCATCTCTCTGTCTCCCTCCCGTCTCTCTGTAGTCCTCTGTGTCGCTCTCTCTCTCTCTCATGAAGAAGTTCATACCTTACTCCGTGCTCTTCCAGTGACTCTGGTTTCTGGGCTGTTCTGGTTCCACAGTCAGGGCCCTCTCTGGTACCTCACTAACCTGAACCACTGAGGGTGAACTACAACAAGACCCTCGCAAATGTGGCGCACTGCATTCCTGCCCTTGTCCTGAGAGCTGGTACAATCCCATCAGAGAGGGTTTGGCACTTTGGTTTAATCCTCAAACCAACCACAGCTTCATGGTGGTGAAGTGCCTAGTTTGAAGTCGGCTATCACTGCAAAGCCTCAGAATCAAGGCCGGGCTGTTCCGGAATGTCCCTTGCTCAGCTGTGCTGCTGTCAAACAGGATAGAGACACCCAAATCACCAACAGTAAAGATCAGTGAGACATAGCTAGAGGAGAGAGAGGAAGTTCACTGTAAGGCATGGGCAATAGCAGAGAGCTCTCATCTACATGCAGTGCTGTGGGCTGGTGCTGGCTCTGACATTGGTGGCACCTGAAACAGCTTGGCACAGTGGTGTCTGTGCATGGTTAACAATAAGCTCGTGTGTCCCACATGGTTGCAGAGCCCCTTCTCATGTGGGGAAGCAGGCTGGATGGGAAGTCTGAGCTTTGCCTGGAAGATACTAGCATCTCGCAGACATCCCTAATACAATACAGCCTGGGTAAACCGATTCTCTCAAGGCCCGAACTCTGCAAACCACATTCCTGTATCACTCAGATGTGCAAGCCAAGAACCAAGGAGTGATTCCGAGCTGGTAAAACAATTATTTTATGTTAAGTAAACATTGGATAATCCACAAACAAGGGCCCAGAATTCAAGGCTCGTACCTGATCCCAGACTTTCCAGATGGTTCTGCATCAATCAGTAATTTCTCAAAGTTGCAGCTTCCTCTGCAGAAAGCAAATATCTCAATTCCTGTCGAAATTCAGTTCATTAGTGGAAACAGCAAGATCCCACAAACTCCACTCGAGCAGTTAATCTGCTTTAGTGATGTCACTTAGGATAAATATTGGAGCTAACATGAGAGAGAATTCCTAACCTCTTGGAGCAGTCCCTTCAGCACTGATCCTCTGACAGTATGGTGCTCCCTTGGTGCTGACCCTCTGTCTCCATCAGACACTCCCAGGACATGTACAGCACAGGGTTAGATGCAGAGTAAAGCTCCTTGTACGCTGTCATCATGAAACACTCCCAAGACAGGGACAGCATGGGTTTGATACAGAGTGAAGCTCTCTCTACTTTTATAAAGGTAAAGTAAAGCTCGTTCTACACAGTCACATCAAACTCCGAGGACAGGTACAACATTGGTTATGTACACAGTGAAGCTGCCTCTACTCTATTAAAATGAAACTAAAGCTCTCTCTACTTCATTAAATCAAAAGTAAAGCTTGACATTGTTCCTATCAAATATTCCCAGGACAGATACAGCAGAGCTGGATATGGAGTGAAGTTACCTTTACATTGTTGTATAAAACAGGCAGATTATTACATTTAATTTAGTCACCATTGTTATTCACAGTAATTTATTAAACATCCAGCTTCCTGTTTCAAGCTTTCTTCTGTTTCCTTGTTGAATGTCTTAGATTAGAGATAGACTTTTCTGACTGGGTCATTCATTTCATCGTTTACCTCGATAACTCACTTTGACATGACCCTTGGTGTCTTGATCCCTTCGTCTAGTTAGTGATTCTCTGAGCATTCCCAATGTTACACAGGCCATCCCCTAATCAGTCCTTCCTCCCTGTGTCCTTCACTCTGAGAATAACGCCTTTGAGTTGCAGTATCATCTTTAACATTGTAACGTGGCCCACAATGTTTCACAGGAGCATAATCAGATAACATTTAACATAATTGGTCCTAAAGAGAAGTGATCAAAAGTTGGTCAGAGAATTAAGTTATAAGGAGTGGCTGAAAGGAATAAAAAGTCAGCGAGGATTTGGGAGGGATCTTAGAGCATGGGGCCAGGCCGCTGAAGGCATGGTCGATGGTGCAGTTTAAAAATCTAGAATTGGATGAGTGCAGAGATCTTGAAAGTTTGCAGAGTTGGAGGAGATACAGAGAGGGATTGAGACAGTTAACTCGTGGTCAGTGAGTGCAGTGGTGGAACAGGACTTGGTACAAGTTATGGCTGATTTCAGGATGGCAGAAGATGAACATAAGAAACAGGAGCAGCATTAGTCAATGATTCAGATTCTGATTCAGAAAATCAAGCCTGCTCCACTATTTGATATGATCATGGCTGATCTTGCACTTTAAATCAAACTTCTCACTTGCTCCTCCTATCTCTTGATTTCCCGAGAGACCAACTATCTCTGTCTTAAAAATACTCAAAAATGAAACCTCCATCACTCAAACAAAGAAACCCTAAAGAATTGCAGATACTGAAAATAAGGGAAAAAAGCCCAGAAATTGCTGGAAAATCTCAGCAGGTCTGGCAGCATCTGTGAAGATTAAGCAGAGTTAAATCCAGTGACCCTTCTTCAGAACCCACCAACTTCCGGGCTACAGAATTCCAAAGATTCACAACCCTTTGAGTGAAAAAAAATTCTCCTCATCTCAGACCTAAACGATCAGTTCCTTAGCTAGAGACTGTGCTGTGTTTTAGTGTGGTTCAGACTTTCAGATGTCATCTCACAAAACGATGGACAGTTCTAACAGCATTCTTTATTCTCATAGTCTAATCCCTTTGCAATGAAGGTAGATAAAGGAGACCCAGTACATGTAGTATGCTGCAGTTGAATATCCAAATGTCACTTGATAAGCTGCCATGCAAAAGTCTAAGACACATTGTGGCTCATAGAGTTGTGTAAGGTATTCGCATGGATAGGGGTTAGGTGAATAGGCAGGAAGCAGAGCGTAAGCATAAATGGAGTATTTTCAAATTGCAGGCTCGAGGATCGATACTCAGGTAAACCCAGCTATTTATAATCCAGGTTAATGGCTCAGACAGTGAGTAATGTTCGCTGATGATATAAATCAAGGAGGAAATGTAGGTTGTGAAGAGGTCACAAAGAGATACATGCAGGTTAAGAGAATAGGCAACAAGGTGACAGAGAGAGGATGAAGTGAGGAAGTGTGAAATCATTCACTTTGGTCATCATATCAGAAAAGCAGAATATTTTTAAAATTCATAAAACTGATAATGTAATGTTTGGACAGACTTGTGAGTAAGAAATGTGGTAGGTTAGCAGACAGATGAATTTTAAAAATATTCTGCTTTTCTTAACCTTTGTGACCTCTTCACAACTTACATTTCCTCCTTGAATCATATCAGCGAACATTACTTGTTGTCTGAGCCATTAACCTGGATTATAAATAGCTGGGTACCTGAGCACTGATCCTTGTGCCTGCAACTTGAATGCTCGATTTATGCTTACACTCTGCTTCCTACCTATTAATCTAACCCCTATCCATGCAAATATCTTACTCCAACACCATTAGCCCTAACGTATTAGACTTCTGCATGGAGTTTATCGAGTGATGTTTGGATATTCAACCAGAGCACACTATATCTACTGACTCCCCTTTATTCGTTGCATCCTCAAAAATCTTGAATAAGTTTGTCAAACAGGACACAAGATTGAAGACAGGATTGGGAATCTTTGGAATGGTCCAGTCTGGGGATGGTAAATGATTTATTGAGAGGGTTCAGAAGCAAACCAGCTAAGGTAGGGACAGAGTGTCATCGCACTGGGTACTCTCTTAACTCAGTCTTTCTCAGAACCTCACACTGTGGAGATTTTCTCTCAGCCAGTGTTTCCTGACAAATCGCTGCTACTACATCACAAACTGGGTGCTGGCTAACTACTGCTCCCCAATATAGAGTCGTACAGTGCAGGAATTGTGCCCATTCTGGCTTTCTGAAAGAATGATTTCATTATTCTCCTCTTTTGGTCTTTCCCGAAAGCCTGGCGCACATTTTTCTCATCGAGTATTTGTCCATTTTTCAATGCAATTGCTGAACCTGTTTCCATGATCTTTTGGCACATCTTTATTCCCAGTCATCATGACTCACTGCATAAAAGAGAAATTCTTGTCTCTCCTCTGGTATTTTGTCAATACTTTCAATCTGTGTTCTCTGGTTTCTGGCCCTCGATCACTGGAAGCAATTCTCTTCATGAATAAACTAACAAAACTTAAACTTAGCCAGTTTAAGGACCAGGAGAGGAGTGACAGGTTGACATGAGGACCCCTGACATCAGTGAGTTTGGCACAATTGAAGGCTGAAATAGCAGAAGGAATGATTGGTGGGGAAGGGTGGGGTGAGGCTGATAAACCACTTCACAAGAGTGTTCTTCTGTGACAATGTGGGGAGATGTCAAGGATGGGCTAACACCGGTAATGTGAGGGACACCTCCATTTTTGGCATAAATAAGTCAAAGGACGCTTGCCTGGAAACTCTAATACATCAATCTCTGTCTTAGGCACAATTAATTTTTTTTCAAAAGCTACACGACTGAGGAAACTTTCAGTGAAACAAATAATACATCAGAACAGTAATCTCATTACCCAGTACAAAGCAAACATGTTTTTCTTTTATGTACAGTTTCATCCCAAGATTAAAAAGCTGCATCTAGAGATATGTATAAAATGTCTATCAGCTGACTTGCACCTCCCCCGCCACCCAGAAAGAAACACGTGACTTTATTTAAAATCATGCTTAAAAACAGAAACAAACAGCATGGCATAACAGGAGGGCACAGCAAGATGGCGTCTGAACTGTCTGTTTTGCCATGGTTTGCACAGTACATCACGATCTCTGCACGGCCTTCATAAACACTGAACATGTGGATGGAATGGTGGTTGGGGAAGAGGTTTAGAGATGAGAAGGGTTAATTTGTACTGTGGTCTGTGTACATCAGTCTATGTCCCACACAAACTGGGGCAGAGGGAAAATCTCTGAACTAAGCTGCTCCGCATCCACACGGCTTGAAACCCAATGGCCAGTGCCGTCTGTGTGAATGTGAGAATGGGCAGCTAGTAAAAACTGGACTTTCAGGCAGCATGGGAACAGAAGGAGTCCATTCGGCCCCTCAAGCCTGCGATGGCTGATCTATAGCTTAACTCCATTTTGACCCTTGCCTCACAAAAAAAAAATCGCTCCCAGTTTGAAATTTTCAGTTGACACCTGCCTCCAGCCACCACAGCTTTTTGGAAGAGTGGATTCCAGACTTCCACTCCCCTCTGTGAGAAAGGAATGGTTGCTGCCACCAGCCCTGAGTGAGCTGGCTCAAATTTGAAGATTGTCCTCCCATGTTCTGGAATCACCCCAAGAAAGAAGAAACAGTTTCTCTCCATTTATCACTTCAATTCCTTTAAACGTCTTGATAAGGTCACTGATAATTTTGTCTGCCACATTCAGGAGATCATAAGCCAAAGCAGACATAATTCTTTCGGACCCAGTGTCACTTGGGTGAACATGAACACAAAAAATAGGATCAGGCATAGGCCATTCGGTCCTTCGAGCTTGCTGCAGATTTCAATTAGACCATGGCTCATCATCTCCTTCAATACTACTATTCCCTATCCCTTGATGCCAATCAATCTACATTGCTTTCCCTTTCGAAGCCGGAGATTGATTGTGAGGGGCACTGTCGAGTATGAATTGCCAGCTATCATCCCTGAACACCCAATGTCCTTGGATCTCTCCAGCTGGACCATCCAGTTCATGCGCTGAGGGTCCCTGCTCCAGTAATGTTGTGAAACTCCAAGGCTTCAGTTGTAGACAGCTCTGCAGGAAAACCACTGGCTGGGTAATGGGCCAGAGAGCAGTAATGGAGGGGTTTGAGTGGGAGCTGAGGAAAGCCGGGGACTAAACAGGTCTGACAGCAACCTTCATCTCAGACCTGCAGGGTCAGTGAAAGGGCACCTGATACCCATGGAACCCAGTGGGTACCCACTGCTCTGGCCTGAGTGCTGTTAGGCTCCACAGGGACACAGTAGGTAGTGTGGACAGTGGTGAGTCTGAGAGGTGGATGGTGAAGGGAGGTGGAAGGGACCCCTAGGTCATCATGGTCAATAATTTGCCTGTGAAGGAGCAGGTAACTGTGGAGACCAGCGTGATAGGTTGCATCCAGCTGCTTACCTGTCTTGAGGTGATATCAGAAAGGGATAAAATACCAGTAACCATTAAAGAGATATCTGTCATAACAATTCCCATTGCAGGATCTTGCTCACCTCCAGCAAGCTGGCCAATCAGGATGCGGGAGAGTTTCTTCGATCCAGAATCTCTCAGAATCCCAGGGGAGGTGCAGATGTCCCGACTAGCAGAGAATCTGTTTTGTGTTATAGATCTCACATCACGTGGTACAGGTACAGAATGGACAGGCACAGAAAGCATATTAACCAGGGATAGATACAGGATTTGGGTATAGAATAGTTTGGATGTGGCTATGGGGCAGGAATGGTCTGCGAAGAGCATGGCACAAATATGGGTATGTGATGTCAACTGAATGGAAAATAGTACTGGATAGGTATGGGCACAGAGTGGATAATGGATGGGATTGGTATAGGATGGATATGGATAATGTAGACATGGGAAACAGGACCAGTATGAGATAGGCATGGATAGATGCAGGGCAGGGGCACATACATGGGATGGAGGGATGGATATGGGACAGGTACAGGGTGGGTACAGGATGAATACAGGATGGGTACTGGATGGGTATTAAGTGCTACCAACAGGTACAGGATGGGTAAAGGATGGGTACTGGGTTGGTACAGGATAGATACAGGATGGATACACTGCTGACCATGATTGCCAATTTACAAATAGTGCATGTTTCACTAATCTTTCAGAGCCAATCAATTAAGCCGATTGCTACTCTGAGCCCTGAGTCCTCCAATCAGAACAGCCCCTTATTCAAAGCCACAACAGCTGGACTTTTCCCTCTGAGATTCGATGTACTCGTGGATTCGGAATTTGGGTTCATTTGGTTGGTTGACGGATCTGTGTTTCAGCTCCCTGGAATGAGAGAGAGGACATGTATTTTTACTGCAGTCTGTTTATTGACACCCCTGCCCAACCCCACATCCCATCCAGCTCTGGGAACCTGTTGCTTGTACCCATTCCATTATAGCCCTGTACCTGTCCCATACTCTCTCCAAATCCATCCTTTCCCAGTCCATTAACCGATTGAGAACCCAGACCATGGGAACAGACTGATGGAACCAGGCATTGGAATGGAGCCATTTCCAGTTCACATTGAGCATTGCTGAACAATGAACACAAAAAACTGTTGAATTATCTGGTTGTCAACTGGTTGTCCCTTATTGACTCACTCTGAACAGCCTCTAGTTCTGACAGTGAATGTTCTTTTGGCCCATATGTCAACATCAAATCAAATCCAAACTTACTTAGCCACAGCCAGAAATGCCAGCTCAACATTGATACCAGTTTTGGCACTGGTCTCTATGAAAGGAACTCCATATTCCTGTGGGTTGGAAACAGGCACATTATTAGTGTAGGATCAGAGCATGGATAAGTCACATCCTACACAGGCTGTCACAGTGTGTCACACAGTGGTGCCAGTATCTCCTGATTCTGAAAGGACAGATCATATAACAATCAGCATGATGTAAGGTGAGCTTAGATCCAGGAGCTGATTTTACAATGGCAACAAGCAACATTCCCCACTTTGGCACACATGGCAGGGCACGTGTGTGAGTTTCAGAAGTGGATCCATAGGGTTTTGAAGAGACAATTAAAATATTTCTAAGCATTCTTCACTTCCTCAGACATCCCAAATCTCCTCAAAGCCAATAAAATCCCATGGAAGTGTAGTCACTATTGCTATGCAAGATATATGGCAGCTAAATTCTGTGCAGCAAGATAACACAAATACCAATGAATTAATATCTTATTAATGACGCTACTTTAGGGTTAGATGATTGGCAGGTCACTGAAGAAAACTCCTCTGCTCTTCCTCACATAATGCCAAGGGATTTTCACATCTCCAAGAGCACAGACCAGGCTGTAATGCAGTAGATTGCACCTCTGACTGTATTGCATTCTCTCATCCTGCACTGCAGTGATTTAATTGGCCAGGTTCTGGAGTAGGAGTTGAACCCCCAATCTCCTAACTCAGATTTAGGAGGTGCTATCCTCTGAGACAACTGAAACTCGTCAATTTCACATTGTCAGAGTGGGTTGTATGGCAGAATTACACTTCCCTGGGTACGTGTGTGTTTAGCTTACCCTGGCCAATTTCTCGCCTTCTTCTCTCTTGATGGCTCTCTCACTGGTAATGTCAGCCTGCGATGAGAAAACAGAGCAATCTGGATGAACATTGTGTGTTTCAACTGGATATGTATATGTGACAATTGATGATTCAACTGGTCAAGCTCAAGGAGCCAGATGATGATCAATAGATGGTGATGGTCAGGAGAAGGTGATGGTCAAAAGATAGTGATGGTCAAGTATGAGTGACAGACTATATCATGTCAGAGCAAGTATAAGGTCAGTGAAGAAGATTGAGGGTCAAAAATACTGTGTGGATGGAGATACAGGAACGTACAAGTGGAAAAAAGCATTTTGAGTATTATGTTAGATAACAAGGTGTAGGGCTGGATGAACACAGCAGGCCAAGCAGCATCAGAGGAGCAGGAAAGCTGACGTTTCAGGTCTGGACCCTTCTTCAGAAATGGCATTGTTATCTTGTTATCTCAGATTCTCCAGCATCGGCAGTTCGCACTATCTTTGAGTATTATATTGATTTGATTTTAAATAGATAATATAAATCCTCCCATAGCATCTCCATAGTGAATCACACTATTCCCAGGAGACTGGTAACCACTGGGAATATGTCAGATTATTTAATGACAAACACTGCGTCTTGAAGGAGTGGAGATGAGGAATAGATACTATGAGGGAGAGATTGTGCGAATAACATAGATAGACAGAATGCAAATGGGCGAAAGGATTGGATGTTGTACAAGATTCTTTGAAGTTTGGAAATGAGTGCACATTAACATCTGAAAGAATTTTAGATACAGTAACAAGATGATGAAGACTTCAGACAATAAGCCTCAGCTTTGGGGGGTTAAACCCCAGACCATACTCGGTCCTGATTTATTACACCACCAGCCAATGAGCCATTCTCCTCTTCCACTGTCATGGCATTGTATAAGGGTTTCTCTCCATTGTCCTGTCACCCAGTCATTTCTAATGTATATTAATCCAGGCTGATCTTCTCCCATCCTTACTGGTTGAAGATGTTGCAGTGCCTAGGCACTAACAGTTCCTCATCCAACCCCCATCTCTCTGTATGAGTGTTTCAGACTATTTACCCATAGAGGAAGGTACAGTCCACTCTAAGCACCTCATCGACTTCCAGTCTAAATCTCAAAGCTGTCAGTTAGGACCACTTACTGATTTCCTCACTGCAGTGCCCATGTTCATCACTGCTTCTCATGGCCTAATCATGACACCTTTCTACAGAACTAAAACCCTTGCGTAAATTCCTTTTGGAAATGACGAAAGCAAGTCAGTGTTTCAATTATGTGACACTTTACTAAAACTGTAACGTAATGGAAAATGACATTCAAATTAGTACCCACCTTGTTACCTAGCAACATGATGACCACATCCTGTTGTGCATATTCATGTACCTCGGTTAACCAGGCCTGAGAGAAAATGCAGCAGAAAGAAATATTCATCAGATTTTAAAAATTAAATAAAAGCTCACCGGCTTTAGGAAACAGAAGTGGCAAAGTGGCACTCCAAAGTCACTCCTGAGGCTCATACACAAGAGACAGGTGACAGTTCCACCTGCCAGTAGTGACAGCAAACTTTGGAAAGCTAAATCAGAGGAAAGTCAGCAAAAACAGGACAGGGAGAGAAGGAGTGGGGCGGAAAAAGTGTTACCAAGTGAAGTTCCTTCTACTGTTTTAAACCAGAATTAAAGCTCCTCTCTACTCTTTTAAACTGAAAATAAAGCTCCCTTTATACTGTCCCTATCAAATACTCCGAGGACAGGGACAACATGGGATTAGATACAGAGTAAAAATGTCTCTCTCTAAAAATGTCCCAATCAAAAGCCCCAGCACAGTCATACTAAAATACGTGTCTCGAGTTTGTTTTCTGGGCACTACATGCCAGGTGCAATACACTGGACTTGGAAAACGTGCTGTGTGGATTGACTGGAATTAAACCAGGGTCATAAGGTTTAAATTTGCAGGACCAGAGGGCACATCAGAGTGAACTAGTGGAGATGTTTAAGACGATTAAAGGTGTCAAATGGTCAAGCTTTTTTGGGTCCCAATCTAAACACGAGATCCATTTCAGGTGATGTTGGGAAAGTTTACTTCATACCAAGAGGTTTTGGAAATCTGGACCTCTCTCCCACAAAACACTTTGGTGGCTGAAGGTCATTGGGACCTTTCAAAACTGACAGTGATTGTCCTGTTGGACAATGACCTCATGGATTGTGGTGCCAAGGTGTCTAAATAGGTTTAATACATATCTGTAGATATCTAATTACATAAAGAAACAAGATCAAAGGACTGAAAGGCCTCAAATTGTTCTTAAGGGAGCCGGAGGCTTTCAGAGAGAATAAGGTGAATGAAAATGTGGACGTTGCTGTCAATCACAGCCTGTCAGGTATAGGAGAATCAGTGGTTAAATTTAGCATGGCTTCGAAAGCAGTCTGACTCATCAGCACTGTTGCTTCAAAACAGATAAAGAGAACCTAACATGATATTTTGAGAGTTCACTGCTTCAAATATTATTACAGCTCATTAAGTAATGAGCTAGGAGGAGAGAAATGGGAGATTTGTAGCTCTCTAACCTCAACCTGCTGCTGTAACTCAATTGATTTTCTACAGCCTATCTTCATTCAGTCTATCTGTTTGACGTCACATCTATGTCAATAAGCGTCATCCTATGGAATGAAGCATTCCAAATGAGCCTTGACATTTCCATTATTAACTTGACCAGGGCTATGCTTACACAATGATAGACGCTAACAGCATTCAAAGCCCTACTTCGCATCATAAACTAATAGTACTCTTCAGTTTCTAGTTCTCTATTCTGCACACTCCCTGCTTCCTGAATCAAATCAAGACTGCTCGTCCCTCTCCAACTCAATCTCATTCTTTATCTTGACCTCTCAACAATTTGAAGATGGAACTGTCTACCCCCAGGATAAACAGTAGCAGCACAAATATCAATTAATCATAATTTTAATCAATAGTCATAACTCCACCTCCTCTCCCTGATGCTGCAAAATGGCTTCGAGTCTCCCATTCAATTCTCTCTTTTGCCTGTAATCTGTAACAGGTTGGATAATCTGAGTTTTGTGTTCACACTGTCTGCTGCTTCTTCTTACAGGGGGCTGGGGGTTCTGCATAACCAGGAGTTCAATCCTGGGGCATGTGGCCCATTCACGGTATATGAGAGGTTTTCAAGGGTTTTGCCCAATCATTGTCTTTCAAGAATAAAAGCTTTTTTTAAAAACCTCATTCGGTGAGGCAGGATTAACAAAAGAGCCTGACAATTACCAGTGATGCTGCATTGAACATTCAGACTGACACTTGACCCTGGGAAGAGTTTAATTCATCGTGCTGATGAGGTCTATCATGCTTGAGCAGTCAGCAAGTTAATCTACAGTTAACACACATAGTCGACAGTATTAACCGATTGGAAGACACAACTCTTGATGTTTTTGTTCATTACCAAGTTGGAGAATGTTTGAATCCTGCCACGGTCAATGGTGGAATTTGAATTCAATAAAGAATATCTGGAATTAAGAATCAACTGATGACCATGAAACCATTGTTGATTGTTGGGTAAAAACCATCTGGCTCACTATTGTCCTTTAGGGAAGGAAATCTACCATCCTTACCTGGTCTGGTCTAAATGTTTTATTTTCCTTTATTCATTCATGGGATGAAGGTGTTGCTGGCTAGGCAGCATTTATTGCCCATCCCTAATTGCCCAGAGGGCAGTTTAGAGTCAACCACATTGCTGTGGGTCTGGAGTCACATGTAGGCCAGACCAGATGAGGATGGCAGTTTCCTTCCCTAAAGGACATTAGTGAATCAGATGGGTTTTCCTGACAATCGACAATTGTTTCGAGGTCATCGTTAGATTCTTAATTCCAGATAGTTATTGAATTCAAATTCCACCGTTTGCCATGGTGGGATTCGAATGCTGGTCCCCAGAACATTATCTGGGTCTCTAGGTTAACAGTCTAGCGATAATACCACTAGGCCCTCGCCTCCCCATGTGACTCCAGACTCTCAGGATTGTGGTTAACTCTCAGCTGCCCTCTGAAATGGCCTAGCAAGACACTCAGTTTTATTAATCACTACAAAGTCTCAAAAAAGACTTGGAACCAAACAGATCACCTAGGCACTGGAAAAGACAATGACAGAAACAGCCCTGTCGATCCTGTAAAGTCCTCCTTACTAATATTTGATTTATTTATTATCATGTGTATTATGTTACATAATACAGTGAAAAGTAAAATAACTCCACTGAGGCCAGTATCCCGTCACCAGTTAACCTTTTGTTTACATGTCCTTCATACTGATCCAGCTCCCTCAGAGCCAGCTCTCAGAGTGAACAGAACCTCTGTATCCTGCTTATATCTGTCAGCCAGAGCTCCCCGATTGGACCAGGTTAACAGCCCCAATCAGGGAACTCATATTGCATGAAGGCTCTCTGGTTAACCTCATTACAATCACTACAAAAAGTGCTGTATAGTGTCACCAATTTCCAACACCATCTTAAAACACAGAAAAATAAACCACAACATAGAATATAAAGGCAGAAAAGTAAAGAAATAAAGTTCAACTTTACAGTCCTTCTTGTTAAGTGCCCAGCCATGGGCCTGGAGCAGCCAGCTACAATTCCCCTCACTGCTGGAACAAGAGTCGCCTCTTTCTGGTGCCATCTCCCCTCCACTGTCACTGTCACTGCCACCGCCATGAGTCCTCGCTGGACCTCGCCAATGCAGCTGCCACTGATGCTGCGGGGTCCTGGACCAGCCCAAACCCGACTCATCTGCTCCCGCCAAAGGTCTGCTCTGGGTCCACCTCGCCAATGGAGCCGCTGCCAATGCTGCCAGGTCCTGCACCAGGCACAAACTCCCCTCTGCAGCCGCCCCCATGAGTCTGTACTGGACTCCCCTCTGCTGCAGTTGCCGTGAGTTGGCGCTGGACCCATCCCGTCGATGCGGAAGCTGCCGGGAACTCAAAACTTGCCTCCAATGCCTCCACCACGAGTCCCCGCTTGGCTCACCTCACTGCCATCGCCATTATTTAAGCTCTTTCATAAGTAAAAAGAAGCAAATAAAATGAGAAAAGAGGAATAAAGAAAAGAAAAGAAAGGAAAGAAATGCAAATGGAGTGGATGAGCCCCGGGCTCAGGAGTCCTACTTTACCGCCATCTTGGATGCTCACCTGGGGTCAATTGCCCAAAATGGGAGAGCTGTCTCACAGACTAGTCAAACAACAGACGGACATAGTCATACTCACGGAATGCTAAAGATAATATCCCAAAGACCACCATCACCATTCCCAGACATGTTCTGTCCCACCACCAGGATAGAGCCAGCAGAGGTGGCAGCACAGTGGTATACAGATGGGAGGGAGTTTCTCTGCGACTCCTCGATATTCAGGCTGGACCCCATGAAGTCTCATGGCTTCAGGTTAAACATGAGCAAGGAAACCTCCTGCTGACTACCATGTACCATCCTCTCTCAGCTGATGAATCATTACTCCTCTCTGTTGAACTACACTTGGATGAAGCACCTCACATTTATCTAGATCAAACACCATTTGCTATTCCTTGGCCCATCTGATTCAGGTCCAGATGTACTCTGAGGTAACCTTCTTCGTTATCCATGCCACCTCCAATTTTGGTGTCATCTGCAAACTTACTAACCCTAACCTCCTATGTTCACATCCAAATCAAAATGACAAAAATCAGTGGACCCAGCACCATTCCTTGGGGTACACTGCTGGTTACGGGCCATATGAAATATGAAATTCACAATACTCCGAGTAAGTACATTCTTAATACAAAGAAAAATTCCAAGGGGAGGACCCATTATCTGTGGTTAACTAAAAGAAGTTCACGTAAAGATCAAGCTTAAGAAAAATGCATAAACTTATGCAAAAATGAGTGGTAGGTCAGACGACTAGTCAGAATCTACTGCACTGCAGAGACTGACTAACAGGTTAATCAGGTCTAATAAATTAGGGTATGAGAGAAAGCTAGCTAGAACTGTAACAACAGATAGTTTCCAGGGTATCTATAAAGGAAAAGAGTAAGCAAAAGTGAGTGTTGGTCTTCTAAAGGCTGGGAATGCAGAGCTAATAGATAATAACAGTGGTGATCTAAAGAATAGATACTTTTGCTTCTATCTTCAAAATACAAATATAAAACAAATCCCAGTAGATCAAGTGGTGGAAGGAGGAGAGGAACCTGGTAAAATTATAATCACTAGGGAAGTAATACAGAGCAAACTGATAGAACTGTGAGTTCATCAGTCCCTGGGTATATTGGACTTCAAAGGTGGCCGATGAGGTAGAAGATTCATTGGTATGAAACTTTCCAAAGTTACAAATGGACCCTGGTCAGGCCTCATCAGACTAGAAAGTGACAAGTATATCTCCTCTTTCGAAGAAGGAAAGGAGGCAGAAAACTGGAAACTCTAGGCTAGTTAGCTTGATGTCTGTCATGGGGGTGATGTTAGAGTTGATCATTAAGGAGGTTATAATGAGGCACTTGGAAAAGCTCAAAGTCTGCAGGAATAGTCAACATGGTTTTTCGAAAGGGAAATCATGTTTAAGCAATTTACTAGATTTCACTGAAGACAGGATCTGGTTCTGTATCCCAGATTAACTCTCCGTAGCTCTCTTTCCCTTTGCCAAGTGGTTGGATTTGACATCTTAACCTAGACCAAGTCTGACAGTCCATTTAACCAAAGGAGCCTGCAGAATGAAGTCTGTCAGAATGAATTCATTCCTTCTGAACAACCTGATACCCACATATTCGCATGTGACAGCAATAGCCATTGGATGTGATCAAGAGCAGATACCAGGGTACTTGGCCCCATCGAACCCCCAGTGAGAGCTGTGGACTCAGTTTTCATAAGCTCCAAATCCTTTCTGATAGTCCACTGGGTCAGGGGTTCACTGAAAGCCTTACTCCAGTCACTGGAGCAGAGCAGAGTGGTCAGTGCTTGGCATCTCTGTTCTTGTAACTATACATTTGGGACATGGCACGATGTCAAACTATAATAATAGTTATCTCTTAGTAAATTGGGCTTCTTAACATTTCCCCAAGATTGTTTCTGCCTTTCAAGGCTAACACTGATAGCTCCAGTCTCTAACAACAGCCTGACTGCTAACTCCACACATCATGATACTCACAGCAATGACTAGTTAATTAGAGATAAAAACTGAAGGTGCACTTTATTTGAAGAAGAAGAAACAGCTTACATCTTAGGCAGGAACCATCTTTGGCATGTTTTAACTGAGAACAAGGCTCTTCCTGAACACATTAGGATTAAGGTTAGAGTTAGATTGTGCGCAGGGAACCCTCCTGGTCACTTTCTGGCTGAGAGAACAATGCATACTGGCAGCTGGGGCTCAGTGGGTGGCAATCTCACTGCTGAGTCAGAGACTCTGGGTTCAAGATCTAATCTATGACTTGTGTATGGAAGATCAAGGCTAACGTTCTGGCTGAGGGGGTGCTGCATTGCCACCTTTTGGAAGAGATGTTACTCTGAGACCCAACCTTCCTTCTCAGTTAGACATTAATAATCCTGCGGCACTATTTTAGCAAAAGGCATGGCAGCTATCCCTGGTGTTCTGGTGAATATTTATCCTTCAATCAACATCGCAAATCAACAAATCATCTGATCATTATCATTTTGCGATTTGTGGGAACTTGCTATGCATGAATTGGTTGTCCTTATCATACACTGTAAAAAGTACCCCATTGACTGTAAAGCGTTTTGGGATGTCTTATGGCCAAGAAAGGTTCTATGAAAATGTAATCTGTCTTTCTAACAAAGAGCATGGCCCTTACTGGATGTATTCCAACTGAAGGTGGGAGTACTTTTAGGCATTAGAAATACCCTGAGCTTGTGAAAGTTGCTATATAAATGCAAGCTCTTTCTTTTTGAATAACAATACAGTCAGGCAGCCACATCCATTCAATTAATTGGTTTGCTCACTCCAGAAGCTGCCATTTTTGATCCAAGGACCAGACAGAGCAGGGCGATAACAAGATTGGCAGGATGCAGGAGAGAGTGCGAGATAAATCGCAATGGGCAGCACCAAGCTTGGGTTGTCAAAGCCCACAGAATGGAGAAGGGAAAACTGAGTGAGGCGAGGGTTCCAGGGTGCTCAGTCCCTGTGATAGATTAGATTTGAAAGTTAAAGAGAGATGTAAATTTATATAGCAATTTTCACAATCTTAGAATGTTCAAAAGTAGTTTACATCTCTTTAGTGAACTGTTGAAGTGTTGTCACTATAGGAAGGATGACAGGCAATCTATACACAGCACAAACAGCAATGCCATATTGACCAGACATTGGTTGTGGGCTAAATACTGGCCAGGACCAACTTGCCCTGCTTTGAAATTGAGCCATGGGGTTTTTATACTCACTTGCTCAGTGCTACTCCAACACAGGGTCCAGTGCTGGAAGATGATGTTGAACACGTACTTATTAGACCCCAGCCTGAGTACTGCGTACAGTTGTGGGTACCACACTATAGGAAAGACGCGAACGCACCAGATAGAGTGTAGAAGTGATTTTCAAGAATAGTTCCAGGACTGAGAAACTTCAGTTATGAGGATCGATTGAAGAAGTTGGGACTGTTCTCCTTGGAGAAAAGAGGGCCTTGAGGAGATTTCAAAGGGGTTTTCAAATTCATGTGCAGACTGGGTAGGGTGGACAGGGTGAAAGGAAAAGAGTGAGAGAGCACAGATTTAAAGTGATGTGAGAAAAAAAAACTGTTGTTAAGGTATGGAATGCACTGCCTGGAAATGTGGCAGCAGGAGGTTCAATTGAAGTATTTGTGAAGGCATTGATAAGTTTTCTTGGACAGTAATGGAATGCAGGGATACGGGGAGGAGGTTGGTGCTAGGTAATAGAATCAGACTGGATAATAGAGCCAATGCAGACACAATGGGCTGAATGGCCTCCTTCTGTGCTGTAATAATTCTGTGATACTGTGAGTTTTGATGTCAACTTGAGATGCAGATGGGGCTTGGTTTAATGCTTTCCCTGTCCATACTGTGCCAAAGTGCAGTTCTAAGGTTATATGCTTGTCACTGCAGTGTGGCCTTAAGGTCTCGTCTGACAGGTGGTGATTCCGACAGGGCAGCACTCACTTGGTGCTGTACTGGCTCGGAAGCCTAGATTACATAATGATAATTGTAGGATGGGTCAGTGAACCCATGACCTCCAGGTTCACAGGAGAGCTTGTTGCCTTGAGCTGACATTTGGTTTGTGAAGGTGACTGAACGATGAAGCTTAGAGTCATTCAGTCATACATAACAGAAGAGGCCCTGTGACCCACCTATCTACACTAATCCCAGCTTGATCATGGTGAAAACAGTGGGCAATGAGTTACGAAGGAAAATGGGTGGCTCAGTGGTTAGCACTGCTGCCTCACAGCGCCAGGGACCCAGGTTCAATCCCACCCTTGGGCAACTGTCTGTGTGGAGTTTGCACGTTCTCCATGTGTCTGTGCTGGTTTTCTCTGGGTGCTCCGGTTTCCTCCCACAGACCAAAAATGTGCAGTTTAGTTGGATTGGCCATGTTAAATTGCCCATAGTGTCCAAGAATGTACAGGCTAGGTGTATTAGCCAAGGGAAATGCAGGGTTACAGAGATAAGGTAGGATGGTGGGTCTGGGTGGGATGCTGTTTGGAGAGTTCGTAAGGGCTGAATGGCCTGCTTCCACACTGTATGAAATGGACTCTCCTTTTGGATTATTTATGTAGGATCAGTCCACCATCTGAATTCCCCAAATTTATTTGAGGAATCATGAAATTCGAAGCATCTTACCCTGATGTTGTCAAATGATGATTTGCTTGTGATATCGTACAGCAGCAGCAGTGCTGTGGGAAGAGAGGGAGAGTTTCAGTTCCAATCAGTCATGTTCAGACACTATCCACCCAACCCTTACAGCATGCAGCAGTCAAACACTCCCACCTCCCCCTCCCGTGATCGGTTGACAGCATGAAGTTAGAATCACTGTCAAACTTGCAGTGGCTCCCAGTCCAGCAATGTCTCAGATTTAAAACTCCCACCCTTGTTTTTAAATGCCTCCATTACCTCATCCTCCCTAGCTCTATAGTTGCTCCCACACCCCAACATTCAGAGATCACTTTGATCCTGGCTTCCTGGATGGAAGTTTAAAAACAGGGAGGCTATGCTGCAGCTGTATAGGGTCCTGGTGAGGCCACACTTGGAGTACTGTGTGCAGTTTTGGTCTCCTTACTTGAGAAAGGATATACTAGCACTGGAGGGGGTGCAGAGGAGATTCACTCAGTTGATTGCTGAGTTGAGAGGGTTGGATTATGAGGAGAGACTGAGTAGACTGGGAATTCATTGGAGAATGAGGGGAGATCTTATAGAAACATACAAGATTATGAAGGGAATAGATAAGGTGGAGGCAGGGAGGTTGTTTCTGCTAGCAGATGACACTAGGACTAGAGGGCATCGCCTCAAAATAAAGGGAAGCAGATGTAGGACTGAGGTCAGGAGGAACTTCTTCACCCAAAGGGTTGTGAATCTGTGGAATTCCCTGCCCAGTGAAACGGTTGAAGCTACCTCGCTGAATGTTTTTAAGGCAAGGCTAGATAAATTTTTGAACAGTAAAGGAATTAAGGGTTATGGTGAGTGGGCAGGCAAGTGGAGCTGAGTCTCAAAAAGATCAGCCATGATCTTATTAAATGGCGGGGCAGGCTCGAGGGGCCAGCTGGCCTACTCCTGCTCCTAGTTCTTATGTTCTTATGTTCCTGCACATTCCTGATTCTCTGTCACTGCATCTAGGTTCTGGAATGTCCTCCTCACACCTCTGAAGCTGGCTTTTCTACATGAACACACACCTTATAGTTCAATCCTTTGGTCACCTGTCCTAATATCTCCTAATGTAACCTGGTTCCAAATTCTGTTTGTGCAGTGCCAAGTGGACCACTGTACATTGGTTCAAGGCACTACGGAGATGGAGGCTATTGTTGTAGTATCTAGGCCAGAATCAAGTCAAGGAGCTTGGCAAGGGGTAGCTGAGCTGGTGAGACCAAGCTATGAGTGATGTGAAACTTGAGCAGTCCTGGGTCACCATAGGCTGGTCTTTTTCATTAAAGAGAGAGGTGACTGGTGGTGAGTATGCCTCAGGTAAGGGGCGAGACTGAGAAGGCAAGGCTTTCATAATGACCTTAGCTGGTACAGGAATTGAACCCACACTATTGGCATCATTCTGCAGCACAAACCAGCCATTTGGTCAACTGAGCTAACGGACCCCCAACAATCAGACCAAGCTACATCAATGTCAAAGTCAGCATTAACAGGTTTCACTGCAGGGCTGACGGGTTCAGTACACAGGTTGGGAAGTTTAAACAATCTGCAAGGATTCTAACTACTGACTCCCTGCCAATAACCTCCACCTATAAAATACAGGTCAGGTGAAGTGCCCATCAATAGGTGATGCCTCTGATGCCAAATGGGTAATTAGCATGGACTGTCTTTGATCAAGCATGAAAAATGGGCACAGAGGGGAGGTACCAGTAGGTCAGCAGTGCCCATGAAACCTAGCCTGCAACCATTCAATATCTTAGCAAAGAAGGTAAAGGGACAGAAATTGTGAAATAAAGAGGAAACCCACTTGAATCAATTGTCATCAAGTAAATTGAGCTAGTTGGCATTTCTACTCCAGGTTTGCTTTCAATATTCAAAAATTCTCTCCTGTGTGTGTGGAAAAAACGTAGAGTGATTTGTGAGGAATGGATGAGCAGCCTTGTGGGAAGCCTGAAGGTGTCTTAGTACCCGGTTGTTGGCTGGAGTTGCTGTCAGGAGCTGTAGCAGACAATGGAGAGGTAATTCTGGGTTAATGGATGGACTAAAATTGTCATCCAAGATTAAATGAAGAGTGGGGAAGACATTTCAGAGCAAATGCCAATGTAGAAGTTTGAAATGGTTGCTATGGGACGGTGTTTAAAATGTGAAATAGTTGCTAAGATGTTGTGCATTATACTGGGCAAGAGTAAGACATGTTCAACTGCTGGATGCTATTCTTGAACAGTCCTTATTTACATTGCTCCAACTGAGAGGACAACAGTGCGAGCATTATGAGAAATTGTCAAATATACTGCACTCTTACCTCCTTTAAAGAAAAACAACTTGTATATTAAATCTAAAATGATACAAGTACACAACTTTCCAGAGTACAAGATGACTAAACTAACATAAACAATACTTTAAAATTTAAACAGGATGGATTGCAAAGTTGTTCTTACTGTGACTGATATGTCGTTTTCTATATATTAGCCCAAGTCATACAAACTACAGAGATTCTTACTGAGACAGATATTTGGACGTTTATTAACAATTGACTATGTACACAACATCTCAGACTTAGGTATAGTCTAGGTTATCTACTTATGTTACTATTACAATATGTGCAGAGTTGACTGACTGACTGACTGACTGACTGACAGACTGACAGAATGAGAGACTGACAGGTTTGACTGACTGACAGGATGTATAGAGAGTATGATGGAGAACCTTTTATACTGCAGTGCCATATGTTGTGATATCATTATAACCTTAAAAGGTTACAGTGTCTTTCTGAGATCTGTGGAATAATACAATAGGAATTGTATCTAAAACAAAATGACTAATATTTCCAGAGTCATTTATGTGTAAAAGGAAATTATTTTTCCAGAACTTTAATAGGTGTTCAACAAAAATACCATAATTTGTCAAGAAATAAAGAAAGGAACAAATGATTTATTTTTCCTTTCCACTTTCTTTCCCGTAATCTATTGGTCTTCTTGTGTTTGCTGTCTGGCTGCTTGCTTCCATTTTCATTCACTTTACTCTACTCCCTCAACATCTTGCACTGAGTCAAACCTGAATATTGAAATTGCTGAGCAACATCATGCAATAGCTGGGACTCGGACACTGATTGATTTGTCTAAATCAATAATGTGCTCAGTTTGCTCTGCTGGAGATTGTGTGTTTCTAGAAAACAAATCACTTTCTTTTTGAATTTCACTTGAGGCTGGAGGATGAATTTGGCTCGAGGAGATTTCTCATGTTCTTCCTTTGTCAGATTTCCTCCTTCAAGCAAGCTATCTTTTTGACAATGATGGAGTTTTTCTCCAATTTTCACAAAATGCACAAACTTACCTCATCTCACTACAACAACATGTTTCCCTTGATCACCTTGATATTTCCCCATAACTTCCAGAACAACACTGAACTCTTGGAGTTTAATAACTGGTCAATCATAATGTAGCATCATTTAATCTTCCTTTTCACTCACTCTGCTACTCAAGCCAACCTTACTAAAATTAAACCTTGTTCCAGGCGTGGTTTTAAAACAAACTTTGACCTTGTGATTATTCTACGAGAGTGTGTTTGATATTGGGTGATATCCGATATCAGAGTATGTTTGATACCAGGTGATATGCTGATATCAGAGTGTGTTTGACACCAGGTGATATCCGATATTACAGTGTGTTTGATACCGGGCGATATCCCATATCAGAGTTTGTTTGATACTGAGCGGTATGTGATATTAGTGGGTGTTTGCTACTGGGTGATATGTTATATCAGAGTGTGTTTGATACTTGGCCATATCCAATTTCAGAGTGTGTTTGGTACCAGGTGATATCCAATATCTGAGTGTGTTTGGTAGCAGGTGACATCTCATATCAGTGTGTGTTTGATACCAGGCAAGCTGCTGATACCAGAGTGTCTTGATACTGGGCAATATCCGATATCAGAGTATGTTTGATATCAGGTGATATGCTGACTTCAGAGTGTGTTTGATACCAGGTGATATTGGATATCAGAGTGTGTTTGATACTGGGCGATATGCTGATATCAGAATGTGTTTGATACTGGGCGATATGCTGATATTAGAGTGTGTTTGATACCAGGCGATATGCTGACATCAGAGTGTGTTTGATACCAGATGATATCGGATATCAGAGTGTGTTTGATACTCGGAGATATGCTGATATCAGAGTGTGTTTGATACTGGGCGATATGCTGATTTCAGAGTGAGTTTAGCACTGGGGGAAAACTGATATTACAGTAGTTTTGATCTAATCTAGCCAGCTCCTAAATTGAGCACTAGGCACTTGCCCTGCTTTGCAGATTGTCAGCTGTACATTGTCCTTTGTCTTGACTTCAGCCTTTTGAGGCTTACTGTTACCCTGTGGTCCTCCATGCTCAAAGACCATTTTCTATTGTCTTAGCATGTGTCCAGATCTCTCTTTCTGATTCCCATTGTAAATAACTCAGCTCAGTTTAACCGTCTTAAACCATTCCTTCCCATCATCTGTCCTCCTGCTGCTACCACTGGCAGAGCATACTCATTCATGGGATGTGGACATCCCGTATTTATTGCCCATCGCCAATTTCCCACAGGAGCAGTTCAGAGTCAGTTACATTGCTGTGGATCTGGAGTCACGAGTAGGCCAGACCAGGTAACAACAGCAGTTGCCTTCCCTAAATGATATTCATGAACCTGATGGGTTCTTCTGACAATTGACAATTATTTTATAGTCATCATTGGACTCTTGATGCCAGACTATTTTATTGGATCCAAATTCCACCATCTGTCCTGGTGGGATTTGAACCCTGTGGTTTCTGAAGAAGGGTCTAGGCCCGAAACGTCAGCCTTCCTGCTCCTCTGATGCTGCTTGGCCTGCTGTGTTCATCCAGCTCCACACCTTGTAGTCCTCAGAACTTTACCTGGGTTTCTAGATTAATTGTTTAGTGATACATGTAAAACTACTAGGCCATCACCTCCCTGTGATATATACCATCAGAGGAGGGGGAGGCCCAGTGGTATTATCGCTGGAATGTTAATTGACAGACCCAGATAGGTTCTGGGGACCCTGGTTTGAATCCTACCATGGCAGATGGTGGAATTTGAATTCAATAAAAAAATCTGGAATTAAGAGTCTAATGATAATCATAAATCCATCTGGCTCACTAATGTCCTTTAGGGAAGAAACTGCCATCCTTACCTGGTCTGGCCTACGTGTGACTCCAGACCCACAGCAATGTGGTTGTCTCTTAAATGCCTTCTGGGCAACTAACAGCAATGGGCAATAAACGCTGGTCTAGTCAACAATGCCCTCATCTCGTGAATGAATAAAGAAAAAAAGAAAAGAAAACTCACTTCCTCTCTCACACTAACAATGCCACTAACCAGCTTCACACATGGTGTGGCCCACTCCCACTCAGATCTTATTGAGGCCTGAGTCAGATCTCATTAGCAAGCAGATCCTGGGAATCTGGGAATGGGTCTTGGGATTAGGTTAAATTGGGGATTTCACTGCCTCCATTTTGGGAACTCAGACCCCTTCCTTGTGTAAACATGCCGAGCAATTAGCAGGTTCTAGATTAAAGCCCTACTGTTTACCTGCCAGTCTGATAGAAACAATGCAGGATATTGAAATGTTACTGGCATCCAGGACCTATCACACCCCTGCTGACCACTGCCTCACCACTCCCCTGCCTTCACCCTGGTTCTCAGAGGCCCTCAGAAATGTGTGTGGGAGAGAGACAGATTTGAGTTTAAATCTCTGGAGTAGGACTTTAGCAATCACTTCCTCTGGCAGTTCATTCCATATATGCACAACCCTGTGTGTGAAAAAGTTGCCCCTTAAGTTCCTTTTAAATTTTTCCCCTCTCACCTTAAACCTATGCCCTCGCGTTTTGGACTCCCCCACCTCGGGGAAGACACCTTGTCTATTCACTCTATCCAAGCCCCCCATGATTTTATAAACCTCTTTAAGGTCACCCCTCAGCCTCTGATGCTCCAGAGAAAATAGTCCCAGCCTATTCAGTCTCTCCCTATAGCTCAAACCCTCCAATCCTGGCAACATCCTCATAAATCTTTTCTGAGCCCTTTCAAGTTTCACAACATCTTTCTACAGCAGGGAGACCAGAACTGAACCCGGTATTCCTAAAGTGGCCTGACCAATGCCCTATGTTGACCCAAAATCACTTCTCAACTCCTATACTCAATGCCAATAAAGGCAAGCATACCAATTGTCTTCAATACCCTGTCTACCTGTGATTCCACTTCCAAGGAAATATGAACCTGCTCTCCAAGGTCTCTTTGTTCAGCAACACTCTCCAGGACTCTGTCATTAAGTGTATTATTCCTGTCCTGAATTGCCCTACCAAAATGTTGCACCTCACATTTATCTAGATTAAACTCCATCTGTCACTCCATGGCCCATCAGCCCATGTGTTCAAGGTCCCATTGTACTCTGAGATAACCTTCTTCACTGTCCAATACATCTCCAATTTTGATGCTGTCTGCAAACTTACTAACCATAGCTCCTATATTCACATCCAAATCATTTATATCAGTGACGAAAAGCTGTGGATCCAGTACGGATCCTTGTGGCACATGGCTGGTCACAGGTCTCCAATCTGAAAAGCAACCCTCCACCACCACCCTCTGTCTTCTACCTTCGAGTCAATTTCATATCCAAATGGCTAGTTCTCCCTATATGCCATGTGATTAACCTTGTTAACCATTCTACCATGTGGAATCTTGTTGAAGACCTTACTGAAGTCCTATAGACAATGTCCACCACTCTGTCTTCACTAATCTTCTTTATTAATTCTTCAAGAAACTCAGTCGAGTTAGTGAGACACGATTTCCCACGCAAAAAAAGCCATATTTACTATCAGTCCTTGCCTTTCCAAATACATGCAAATCCTGTCCCTCAGAAACCCCTCCAACAACTTGGCCACCACCGATGTCAGGCTCACTGGTCTATAGTTCCCTGGCTTTCCCTTCGCACCTTTCTTAAATAGTGGCACTACATTAGCCAACCTCCAGTCTTCTGGTAGCTCACCTGTGGCTATGGGTGATACAAATATCTCAGCAAGGGGCTCAGCAATCACTTCCCTAGCTTCCCACAGAGTTCTAGGGTACACCTAAACTGGTCCCTGGGACTTATCCAACTTTATGCATTTTAAGACGTCCAGCACCTCCTCCTCTGTATTTTGGGCACTTTTCAAGATATTGCTATTTATTTCCCCAAGTTCTCTAGCTTCCATATCCTTCTCCACAATAAACACTGATGTGAAACACTCGTTTAGTATCTCCCCTATCTCTGGCAGTTCCACACATAGGTGACCTTGCTGATCTTTAAGGGTCCCTATTCTCCCCTAATTACTCTTTTCTCCCTTTATGTATTTGTAGAAACGCTTTCCTGTTTAGATAAGAGAACGTGACTAAACAATTTCTTGTAGTCTTCTTCTGAGATAACAGATTCTAGTCCACTGCTCCACTGATCACAACATCATTTCCTGAATATTTTACCCAGTTCCCAATATGAGCAATCATATATTTATCTACGTTAGGTTTAGAACTAAAAAGATCCATCAACCAGGTTTCTTTAATAAGTAACAATACTGTCGATTTATTATAAGATTTATTTGACAAAGATGGAAGGGTATTTAACAAAGTTTGAAATACGGAAGTATAAATATCTATCTTGCTCAATACTACCCCCACACATAAACCAATTAAAGAAAAAAAACAGAACTTTCTCTGCAGAGATTAATTTTGAAAAACAGAACTGATCAAGTTTCAAAAGGAAAGGCATTAGATTTGAAATGCTCCAAATGCTTCTGGTATACATGAGGACAGGTGTCACTGAACACAGGCTGTCCTCACTGGGACCTTTACAGATTCCAGAGTCATTGAGAAGAAACTTTTGCAGAAGTTTTACAGGAGAACTACAGGATCAGCATTTCAGTTATCAAACTGGATCCTCAAACCAATCATCTCAGAAAGGCGGAGGATGGGCTTGGGAGTTTCTCCCTTGCAGTAGGTTGTACCTCAACTGGCTCCATTCCAAAACAAAGTAACTCCTGACAGCCATAAATCTAGACATGTCATTTCCAGTAAATAAGTCCAAGCAATTAGTTTAAGCCATGTGATTTACAAGAATCTGATCTGAATGGTGCCTCAACTCCACATTCCTGCATTCCCCCAACAGGATCCAGAGGATTTATTTTCTGCTTCCAGATTAATACAAGAAAATGTTACGAGCTCTCGTGTGAATGGACTGACTGCACACTTGCTTGTTACTGTATTGTACGACAGCTTTTTCCCTCTCCTCAGCTCACATTTCCAGATTCTAAACGGTTTACCATGTGAAGTTAACAGCAACACTAGGGCCTGATTCAGGACACACAATGGGAGTGTGGGACCTGATCCCAGCGAGCTGATAATTCCCAACTATTGCAGCCCTACCTTGAGCATCTCTGTAGTAGGCATGAGTGACACTGCGAAACCTCTCCTGTCCGGCTGTGTCCCAGATCTGGAAATAGAAACAGGCCCTCGTTATTTCAATTACTCGACACTCCAACCTCAAATAAAGCAAAACCGGGTGAAAATATAGGAGGTACTGAGAACTAAACCAGGGGCAGACAGTTATGAATCAGAGTACTGGAACTGTGCGACCCATAACCTCTTCCACTCACTCAGACAGTGATGTTTACGTCCTCAAATAAAAGCAGCATATTGTGTACGTTGGAGATCTAAAATAAAAACTAAAAGTGCTGCAAACAAGCAGCAGGTGTGGCAGCATCTACGTTTATTGGACTCCTTTCACCGTGTGTGTGTGACTGCTTTACACACACACCAAGGGTCGGTGCTGGGACCTTTGTTATTTGTTATTTACATAAATGATCTGGATCAAATGTACAAGGCATAATTAGTAAATTTGTGGATGATACAAAATTAGGGGGTATCATTGATAGTGAAGAAGGTTATCAAAAATTAGAGGGATCTTGATCAGATGGGGAAGTGGGCTGATGATTAGCAAATGCAATTCAATACAGATAAGTGTGAGGTGTTGCATCTTGGAAAGTCAAACCAAGGTAGGACTTATATAGTAACTACACAGTCCTGAGGAGTGTTGTGGAACAGAAGGACCTAGGAGTACAAGTACATAGTTCATTGAAAGCAGCGTCACAGGTAGACAGGGTGGTGAAGAAAGCATTTAGCAGGCTGGCCTTTGTCAGTCGAGGCATTGAATACAGGAGTTGGGACGTTATGTTACAGCTGTATAAGTCGCTGGTGAGGCCGCACTTGGAGTATTGTGTACAGTTTTGGTCACTCTGTTATAGGAAAGACATTGTTAAACTGGAAAGTGTGTAAAGAAGATTTACGAGGGTGTTGCCAGGATTAATAGACCTGAATTACAGGGAGAGGTTGTCCAGGATAGAACTTTATTCCTTGGAACGTAGGAGAATGACAGGTGACCTTATTGAGGTGTAAAATCATGAGGGACATAGATAGGATAAATGCATATCGTCTTTTTCTCAGGGATGGGGAATTGAAAACCAGACAGCATAGGTTTAAGATGAGCGGGGAAAGATTTAAAAAGGACCTGAGGGGCAACTTCTTCATGCAGAAAGTGGTGTGTGTATGGAATGGGCTGCCAGAGAAAGTGGTTGAGGCAGCTACAATAGCAACATTTAAAAAACATTTGGATACGTACGTGGATGGGAAGGGTTTAGAGGGATGTGGACCAAATGCAGGCAATTGGAACGAGCTGAGTGGGCATCATGGTCAGCATGGACCAGTTTGGGCCAAAGGGCCTGTTTCCGTACTGTATTTTTCTACTCTACTCTACATTACTCTACTCTGTGAATAGAACTGGAGTCTAATCACATATTTTATGAATTTATCCTCGGAGTCTTTGCTACTTTTTTTTAAAATTGCCCTGAGGACATCGAGTCAACCACACAAAACCAGACCGAGTAATGCTGACAGGCCCCTTCCTGATAGGCATGAGTGAACCAGCTGGTCTGAAATTTAATTGAAATTTTCTTGTGGATCATATATCAAGATAACAGATAAACAGGCATCAGTTCCATGCTGAAATCTAATTCAAGGATTTGGATGATTTACAAATAGAGAAGCAGATATCTGGGAATCAGATAAACCTGAATTGAGCAGATTAGATGGTTTATGAACGAAATGCTATTTTCAAATCCCTCGATGGCCTCTCTCCTTTCTAGCTATATTATTTCTCCAACATCTGTATTCCTGTAATTTTGGCGAATTGTATATTTCCACCTTGATTTCCTTCCATTCACCAACAGCTTTAGCTGCTTCAGGCCCTAACATTGCGAATTGCTTTCCCAAGTCTGTCCACTTCCTTCATTCCCAGGACACCTCCTTCAAGACACTACTTAAAAACCTACTTATCTCACATGTCCTAATATTATGCATGACAATTCCAAGAAAAGTTGATCAAAATAACTCCACTTTCCTTACCCTTCCCCATTGGCCTCAAAATGTAATAATTTCAAGCCTTTATTCAATTTGCTTTTAAAAATTACTGTTGAATCTGGTCCCCCGTTCTTCCATTAATGATCACATGACTTGCAGTGTGGAAAATGTCTTCTCATCTCCCACTTAGAATCTTAGAGTCATAGAGCTGTACAGCATGGAGAAGACCCTTTGGTCCACTCATCCATGCCGAACAGATACCCAAATTAGTCCCATTATTAGATTAGTCCCTAATCTAGTCCCATTTGACAGCATTTGGCCCATAACCCTCTAAACCCTTCCTAATCATATACCCATCCAGATGCCTTTTAAATGCTATAATTGTACCAGCCTCCACTACTTCCTCCGGCAGCTCATTCCATACACATACCACACTCTGTGTGAAAAACTTTCCCCTTAGATCCCTTTTAAATCTTTCCCCTCTTACCCTAAACCTATGCCTTTTAGTTTTGGACTGCACCAGCCCAGGGAAAAGATCTTATCTATTCACCCTATCCATGTCCATCATAATTTTATAAACCTCTATAAGGTCTCCGATACTCCAGGGAAAATACCTCCAGCCCATTCAGCTTCTCCCTATAGTTCAAACCCTCCAACCCTGGCAACATCCTTGTAAATCTTTCCTGAACGTTTTCAAGTTTCACAACACCCTTCCTATAGCATGGAGACCAGAACTGCATGCTGTATTCCAAACCTGGCCTAACCAATGTCCAGCACAGCTGCAACATGATCTACCAAATCCTATACTCAATACACTGACCAATAAAGGCAAGAGTACCAAACACTGCCTTCTTCACTTTTTCAAGATGCTGCTATTTATTTCCCCACATTCTCTAGCTTCCATATGCTTCTTCGCAATAAACACTGATGCAAAATACTCATTTAGCATCTCCCCCATCTCTTGCAGTTCCACACATAGGTAGCCTTGCTGATCTTTAAAAGGGCCCTATTCTTTCCCTAGTTCCCCTTTTGTCCTTAATGTATTTGTAGAATCCCTTTGTATTCTCCTTAACCCTATTTGCCAAAGCTATCTTATGTCCCCTTTTTGCCTCCTGATTTCCCTCCTAAGTATACTCCTATTGCTCTTATACTGTTCGAAGGGATTCACTCAATTGCTGGTGTCTATACTTCCTTCTAATTCTTGACCAAAACCTCAATTTCTCCAGTCATCCAGCATTCCCTACACCTGCCAGCCTTGCCCTTCATCCCAACAGGAACACACTGTCTCTGACTCTTTTTGAAGGCTTCCCATTTTCCAGCCGTGTCCCTTTACCTGCAAACATCTGCCCCCAATCAACTTTTGAAAGTTCTTGCCTAATACCGTCAAAATTAGCCTTCCTCCATTTAGAACTTTAACATTTAGGTCTAGTCTATCCTTTTCCATCGCTTTTTAAAACTAATAGAATTATGGTCACTGGCCCCAATCTGTTCCCCCATTGACACCTCGGTCACTTGCCCTGTCTTATTTCCCAAGAGTAGGTCAAGCTTTTCGCCTTCCCTAGTAGGTACATCCACATACTGAATCATAAAATTTTCTTGTACACACTTAACAAATTCCTCTCTATCCAAGCCCTTAACAATATGGCAGTCCCAGTCTATGTTTGGAAAGTAAAAATCCCCTATCATAACCGCCCTATTATTCTTACAGATAACTGAGACCTCCTTACAAATTTGCTTCTCAATTTCCCGCTGACTATTGGGGGCTCTATAGTACAATCCTAATCAGGTGGTCATCCCTTTCTTATTTCTCAGTTCTACCCAAATAACTTCCCTGGATGTACTGCCAGGAATATCCTCCCTCAGTACAGCCACAATGTTATCCCTGATCAAAAACACCATGCCCCCTCCTCTCTTGCGCCCCTTTCTATCCTTCCTAAAGCATCTATACCACGGAACATTAAGCTGCCACTCCTGTCCATCCCTGAGCTACGTCTCTAATTGCTGTGATATCCCAGTCCCATGTACCAAACATGTCCTGAGTTCATCTGCTTTACCTGTTAGGTCTCTTGCATTGTAATAAATGCTGTTTAATTTATCAGCACTACCTCATTCTCTGCTTTGCTCCTGCCTGCCCTGACTGTTTGACTTGCACCTTTTCCCAACTGCGCCAGTCTCAGACTGATCTCTTTCCTCACTATCTCCCTGGGTACCCCGACTCCCCACCTGCCCCACTTTACTAGTTTAAATCTTCCTAAGCAGCCCCAGCAAATCCCTCGGCCAGTATATTAGTCCCCTTCCAATTCATGTGCAATCCATCGTTCCTATACAGGCCACTTCTACCCTGGAAGAGATTCCATGATCCAAAAATGTGATTCCTTCTCCCCTACACCAGCTCCTTATCCACGCATTCATCTACTCTATCCTCCTATTCCTACCCTCATTATCCCATGGCATCAGGATTAACCCACATAGGACTATCCTTGGGGAACTACTTTTTAAATTCCTACTTGACTTCCTGTATTCTCTCCTCAGAATCCCATCATTTTATCCTCCTATATCGTTAATTCCATGTATTCAATGACCTCCTGCTAGTCCCTCTATCCTTTGAGAATATTCTGTACCCTCTCTGAGACATCCTTGATCTTGGGACCATGGAAGCAACACACCATTCTGATGTCTCACTGTCGGCCACAGAAACATCTCTTTGTGCCTATCACTATACAGTGCCCTTTCACAATCAATCACTTGGAACCTGATCACCCCTCGTTACATCAGTACCAGAAACCTGGCTGTCGGTGTTACAAACCCCTGAGAGTTCATCACCTCCTACATTTTCTAAACAGTATACTTGTTTGAGATGGGGATAGCCATAGGAGACTCCTGCACTACCTGCCTCCCTCTCCTACCTTTCCTGAAAGTAACCCATTTACCAGACTGTATCTTCAGTTTATCTCCCTTCCTACAACTGCCATCCATCACACCCCCAGCTCCTGTAAATGCCTCATTGCCTCTAACTGCCGCTCCAACCTATCCATATGAGCCATATCCAAACACACTTCCTGCAGACATAATCATCACTAACATGGAAATTCTCCCTAATCTCCCACATCCGACGGGAAGAGCACATCACTCTACTAAAGGCAGTCTTTGCACCTTAACGGTCTATAGACCCAGAAAATAACACAGTCTTACTGCTCTAAAAACACTGCTCCAGGCTAACTTAGTATCTATGTTTTATATCTTTAAAGTTTAATTAAGAGACAGATCTCAACAAAAACATAAATCAGCTCTAACACTGAAAATGCCTCAGAAAAGGAGCAGCTCTTACAGCCACAATTTTCTCCTGTCCTCCACCTTGGATTACCCAGAGACAGCATAGTATGGAGCTGGATTAACACAGCAGTTCCTTTAGTTGTGGAGTTTTCCGGAGGAAGAGAGGGTGGTTTAACAAAGTTAATTATAATTTCTCCAAGTAGTATCTTACTTATGGAAAATGAGCAAAGGTTAGCTGCATAGAACTGCTCCTAGATTTGAGGGGAATGTGTGGTTTTTTTTAGGGGCAATGGGTGTCCTGTGATTGACACTGGCTTAATTCCAGCTGTTGTCACAAAAGCACTGACCTGTAGCTTGACTTTGACCCCGTCCACAACCACCACCTTATTCTGTAAAACAAGAGGGGAAACTTGTTAGCAGCAGGAAATGCAAGCAGCAAGAATAGTGGCTTTATTGATCAGGTCTCTATCAACACACTACCAGTGACTAGTGTCAATCAAATTTCAACTTGAAAACATTTTGAGAAATATTGATTTATCCCCCCAATCACGGTGCATGCTGAACCTTCATCCTCCCTGAACCATTGGTCATCCTGTACTATCCAGCATCCAAAATAACTGGTACCTCATCGATGTTTGATAAATCCTATATAATGTCACATTATGAATTATTGACAATTACATAACTGTTTCCAGTGTCACAACGTGAGATTGATCAATTGTTGAGCAGTTGCTTTCTGTGACTGGTTATTAAAAAGTGCCATCACACTTTTGCCACTAGGAAATTTCACTTGTATTGTTTGTCTCAAGTGGACCTGGGTTCCCCTGTCCCCAAAGATCCCACTAATTGACAATTGTACATTAATGTAAATGGACTTTAAATGGATCTTGCATCCCTTGTAACAGATACAGACTAAAACTATTTTTTTAGGTTAGGAGGTACGTGCTTATAATGTATAAAAACCAAAAGAACTGCGGATGCTGTAAATCAGGAACCAAAACAAAGTTGCTGGAAAAGCTCAACAGGTCTGGCAGCATCTGTGTAGGAGAAAACAGAGTTAACGTTTCGGGTCCGGTGACCCTTCCTCAGAACTGATGGTGGTTGGGAAAACGTCACTTTATATGTAGAAAATACGGGGGTGGGTGGAGTAGGGAGTAAACGATAGGAATCAGCCCAAAGAGACAGAAAGACAGTTGGACAGACAAAGGAGTTGCTAACGATCAGGCTGGGAGGGTGAATAGTTGTTAATGGGGACTGTTAGTGACTAACAATAGAGGGTGTGTAATGGCAGGCTATATGGTAACAAGGCCTAGTGTGTGGGGTGGGGGGCTGGGACATGGGAGAGTTTAGGCCCTAAAATTATTGTGCTTATACTGTGTTTCTCTGCAAATAAATATTGAGGATTGAGGTTCATAAGGAGGAGGTGTTAGCAATTCTGGAAGGTGTGAAAATAGATAAGTCCCCTGGGCCGGATGGGATTTATCCTAGGATTCTCTGGGAAGCTAGAGAGGAGATTGCAGAGCCTTTGGCTTTGATCTTTATGTTGTCATTGTCTTCAGGAATAGTGCCAGAAGACTGGAGACTAGCAAATGTTGTCCCCTTGTTCAAGAAGGGGAGTAGAGACAACCCTGGTAATTATAGACCAGTGAGCCTTACTTCGGTTGTGGGTAAAGTGTTGGAAAGGATTATAAGAGATAGGATTTATAATCATCTAGAAAGGAATAATTTGATTAGGGATAGTCAACACGGTTTTGTGAAGGGTAGGTCATGCCCCACAAACCTTATTGAGTTCTTTGAGAAGGTGACCAAACAGGTGGATGAGGGTAAAGCGGTTGATGTGGTGTATATGGATTTCAGTGAAGAGTTTGATAAGGTTCCCCACGCAGGCTATTGCAGAAAATACGGAGGCATGGGATTGAGGGTGATTTAGCGGTTTGGATCAGAAATTGGCTAGCTGTAAGAAGACAGAGGGTGGTGGTTGATGGGAACTGTTCATCCTGGAGTTCAGTTACTAGTGGTGAACCTCAAGGATCTGTTTTGGGGCCACTGCTGTTTGTCATTTTTATAAATGACCTGGATGAGGGCGTAGAAGGATGGGTTAGTAAATTTGCGGATGACACCAAAGTTGGTGGAGTTGTGGATAGTGCGGAAGGATGTTGCAGGTTACAGGGGGACATAGATAAGCTGCAGAGCTGGGCTGAGAGGTAGCAAATGGAGTTTAATGCGGAAAAGTGTGAGGTGATTCACTTTGGAAGGAATAACAGGAATACAGAGTACTGGGCTAATGGTAAGATTCTTGGTAGTGTGGATGAGCAGAAAGATCTCGGTGTCCATGTGCATAGATCACTGAAAGTTGCCACCCAGGTTGATAGTGTTGTTAAGAAGGCGTACAGTATGTTAGGTTTTATTGGTAGAGGGATTGAGTTTCGGAGCCATGAGGTCATGTTGCAGCTGTACAAAACTCTGGTGCGGCCGCACTTGGAGTATTGCGTACAGTTCTGGTCACCGCATTATAGGAAGGATGTGGAAACATTGGAAAGGGTGCAGAGGAGATTTACCAGGATGTTGCCTGGTATGGAGGGAAGGTCTTATGAGGAAAGGCTGAGGGTCTTGAGGCTGTTTTCGTTAGAGAGAAGAAGGTTAAGAGGTGACTTGATAGAGACATACAAGATGATCTGAGGATTAGATAGGGTGGACAGTGGGAGCCTTTTTCCTCGGATGGTGATGGCTAGCACGAGGGGACATAGCTTTAAATTGAGGGGTGATAGATATAGGACAGATGTCAGAGGTAGGTTCTTTACTCAGAGAGTAGTAAGGGCGTGGAATGCCCTGCCTGCAAAAATAGTAGACTCGCCCACTTTAAGGGCATTTAAATGGTCATTGGATAAACATATGGATGATAATGGAATAGTTTAGGTTAGATGGGCTTCAGATTGGTTTCACAGGTCGGCGCAACATCGAGGGCCGAAGGGCCTGTACTGCGCTGTAATGTTCTATGTTCTATGTTCTATGTTCTAAGTGTGTAAGGATTAGGTCCGGTTCTGCTCTTCGCCAAATGGCAGTCTGGAGTGTAAGACCCACCTAGCCACTTAAAAATAGCACCTGAACACCATCTAAATGTTTCTATCGTCTTCCTCCTTTAAATGGAAGGTACTTGGTCTTATTTCTTTTGTCTTGTTTAATCCCATGGATCCAGCAGGTAACAGGACGTTCTCACCCCAGCCTGCAATTTTAGTGCTGTTACTCTTTTAAAAATTAGCAATGTACCTGAGACAGCTCCATCAGAAGTGAAATCAAGAAACACATCTAAACACTAAGGAAGTTTGGAACTCTTCTCCACTAACGGCAATTGTTGACAAATCCAGTCTGAAACCGAGGTTGCTAGATATTTTTAAGCAATGATACTAAGGGATATGGGCAGAGGAAATATACGGAGTGTGGTTTCAGATCAGCCATTGAATGGCGGGAAAAGCTAAAGGGACTGCATAATGTCTTCCTGCTCCTCGGAGAGGAGTTGGATTATGGCCTGTTCAAGAGAATTTCTATGTGAAGCTGCACATTCTGCCCAACCTTACATTCACCACATTAATATTGGTCTTCAGAAGTAGGCTAGCTCTTTATTGAACCAAGGTTCTGGTGAATTCTATAATTTCACTGGCCACCTTGTTATCAATAGATTTTATTACATGATAGGGTATATTATCCTCTCTCAGGAATAAATTGGATAAACAATTTTGTGGTTTATAAGACAGTTATGCTTTGGGACTAGGTTATTAATTTGAAGTAAAATGTAAGGGATCATGTGATTTCTTTTGAAGCCTGACCAAACAACAAACGTGATTGATAAAGATTGACTTGGAAGGCTTTCTTAGGAAAGTGTGCAAGCTTTTCATGTAGCACTAACAGTTTGGTGGACTGTGAATCTGCAATTCCCAAAATAGCATTGAGGATCTTGGGTAGTAAATGGTTGTGCTTTAAACTGTCCATTTAGTTCCAATCACCATTTCTGATTATATTGCCATAAACATGGGGTTTCAGTGGGGAAGGATTTCTAAGATAGCCTTGAAAACTTGGAAACAAGGATTAAGAAGAGGGAGAGAGTAGCTAGAGGCTGGAAGTCTCTGTGATTAACTTTGCAGAAATGCTGATGGACTCAAATTTGAGAGGAGTTAAAATAAGGCCTCAACATTTGCCTAGCTTTTAGTTCAGCAAATTTCCAGTAATACATCCCTGTGAAAAACAGTTCTGGAGTTAAGTGTTTTCAGGCTGAGAAAGCAGAGGATTGGAAGCAAACTCTTAGCCTCCTGCAATTGCAGGGAAAGGTACTGCGTGTGGTGAAGGGATTGGTGGGGAGTGTGGAGCTGACAAGGGAGTCGCAGAGTAAACGGTCACTGCAGAAAGCCGACAGGAGTGGGGAGGCGAATATCTTTTTGGTGGTGGGGTCGGATTGTAGGAAATGTTGGAGGATGATGTGTTGTCTTTGGAGGTTGGTGGGTTGTATGTGAGGACTAAGGGAACTCTAACATTATTGTTGTGGGGAGGAAAGAGGGGTTGAGGGCAGAAGCATGGGAAATGGGGGAGATGCAGTTGAGAGCATCCTTAATAACAGAGGATGGGAAACTATGGTCCCTAAAATAGGAGGATATCTCGGAAGTCCTGGAGTAGAACGCCTCATCCTGGGAGCAGATGCAGCGGGTGTGGAGGAATTGAGAGTATGGGACAGCAGTTTTGCAGGAGGGTGGGTGGGAGGAGGTGTAGTCATGTGATGACCACTTCCACTGGCACCGCTGATCACTTCCACCGACCATATGACGGCTGCCAATCAAGTTGTTACTTCTGCCTCTGCCCATGTGACCGTTCCTATATACACACCCATTCCAGCTGCAGTCCTGCTCCACCCCCACTGCCAGCCATCAGTTCTACACTTAGCCCCAGTCCCCAAGCCCTGCCGGGTATTCACCATCCCCCTCCCACTCTAGACCTCCCCCTCACTGAGGACAAATGGTCAGTCCTCAGCAAAGGACTCACATTGATTTCCCTGCGTCCACATGTGAATGAATTCTGAGCACGCCTTGATGTCGAGCTCTTTTCCACTGTCTCCGCCTCTGCGCTTATTCCCTTGAATGAGAATCAAACCCATCCTCTGACAACACCTTCTCCTGGACACCCCTTCCCGGCCTCCTACCCTCCCTCGACCTCTTCATCTCCAACTGCTGCCAATCACCTGAATCTCTCTGACCCCTCACTTACTCCAACCTCTCCCCATTGGAATGCACAGCCCTCTGCTTCCTTCACTCCAACCCCAACCTCATCATTAAACCAGTTGACAAGGGTGGGGGTGCAGTGAAGGTATGGCAAACTGACCTCTACATCGTTGAGGCCAGCCACC